TTTCGTTGTATATGGAAAGGTAATTTTTCGGCGCCTATTAATGATATTTTAGAAAATGGTGGGCATATTTTAGATGTTGGATGTGGACCGGGAACATGGACATTAGATATGGGTAAGCTTCATATCGTTTTTAATGTGAAATCTTATATGTGTGTATGTGAACCTAATATTTTCAATTGTCATTTAATAGCCACTGAATATCCTAAAGCTAAATTTACCGCAATTGATATGGTTCCTGTATATCCGTCAGAAATTAAGCCTCCCAATGTAACTTTTATTCAGTCAAACGTACTCGAAGGCCTCCCATTTAAAGATAACGAATTTGATTATGTTCATATTCAAAATGCTGCACTCAATTTTACTGAAAAGCAATGGGATAAAGTATTGGTAGAATTAATACGCGTATTGAAAGTTGATGGTTGGTGCGAGCTATGTGAATTGGACCCAAAAATAATAAATATACCTTCAAAGTTTTCACCTTTATACGAAGCTTGTGAGTATTCCTTTTAATTAGCTTTGTTAATACAATTTTATATATAATTATTAACCATCATATTTCTTAATCAGTCATTCAACTAGGCCGTTCTAAAGATATAAACTTAGAAATAGCACCTTCTCTAGGTGAACTCCTATGTGGCTATACTCATTCAAACCAGCTTTCAGAAATTCATCATGACGTACAAACTCTTCTTCATTATGAGCATGGCGCAGGACGTGCTGGAAAAATTTCTCGTGAAAATGCTCTAATGTTCTATCGTACTATAGCTCCAATGATATTAAGTATACTTCATATTACACAAGAAGAGTATGATTCAATATTGGAAAGCGCTGAAGAAGAATGGGAGATTAATGAATGTTATAATTATATGCATAGATTTTTTGCTAGGAAAAAATGTTGAATGTTACGTTACATTAGTTGTACCGTTGACATACATAAGAAACCATAAATTAATTACAATATTAATTTAAATGTGTAATATATCCCTGTATATATATATACCTTATTTATAGATGTTTGAAAAAAAAGTTGGGTATTAATATAATAAATTGTTTTTTTTTTCAATAAAACAAATTCCGTTTATGGATTTACCGTTAATTTAAATTGATTAGTACCCCTGGGACCGTCAATTGACGGTGGAAAAATTGTACGATTCAAATAAATAAAATTATCCGGCAGCTTACTATGATTGTGCTACCAAAATAACTCGAGTTATTTGGCAGTGATACGTCATCTGCCAAATAACTTCGTTATTTGGCAGTTTATGTAATCAC